AGCCTAAATAAAATGTTTTTAATTGTGTACCAGTTTAACGTTGAATATTATTTATGATTTTAACATCACTTCTATTATGTATTTATAACCATCTAAAACAACTTTTAAATAGTTCATGGACATTCACAGCATTTCATATAGTATGTCTTTCGAGATTTAGGTACAAAATATCAAGCCGGTTTTGCTGTAGGCTTATGAAACAATAATATAACTAATAATAACAATTGGGCAACGTTTGATTTTGTCGAACAAACGTGAAATCACATATTTTGCTTATTATCAATGTTTGGGTGGTCTTAACAATAATTAAAAAGAAGGTTTTGAGTGTTTTTGTCAAGAATAAAGCTGCCTTTTTAAGGTGGCTTTTGCCCGAATGTTATATTAGAGTTTTGAGCAAATTAATTTTCGATCCCTATTATGAACCACTATTGTAGTTCATAATACTCAGTTTTGTCTGTCCCGAAATTGCGTGCACATCTTACTATCTAAATGCGCATGCACGCACACTTCATTTCAACAGATGTAAACAAAAAAGAATGTAAATATACTTTAGTGGACGTTTTATACAACAACATATTAAAAGTTTATCAAAAGTCTAACGTTAGTACGTAGAATAGCATTATAAGTTTACTTATTGATAGTATTAAGTACGGTAAAGTTTAGACATAACTAAACTAGTCTAAAGCAAAAAACGTACACAAGTTACAGCGTTAATTTATCTATTTATCGAATATAGGCCTAATAAAGGCTTAACTATTGTTAGTCCTAAAACAAGTGAATTAATACATTTCGGTGCCTGCAATTAGAATTATTTTGTATTATTCTAGAAATCCCCTATTTAAAGAATTACTGTTGCAATTTTACTTAAAATTGTTGAAACAGTATTAGAATTATTATTTTTACTTAAATTTTGAAATTTGATATGCAGGTGCATTGGACAAGTTAAAGGTACTTACAGTCATGATACTGATAGGGAATGTGGGGGTAGGGAGGAGGGGAGGATGTTCAGTCAACGTTATTTTAACACAAAGTTAGGCCTATTGATAGAGTTAAAGAAATAACCTTATGGCCCCGTAGCTATGCTATGGTGGTATGTATGTCACTATTAACATTAGTTTATTGGTTCTTAACTAAGTTAATGTAGACAAGAGTTTTAAACAACCTTGTAGAAATATGGTTAACGAATTGGTTTAAAAGTAGTTGCCCTAGCAAGAAAAAATATTCATGTAAACAATATCAAAATTGTCAATCACTGTGTCAGGCAAGGCAAACTTTTCTCTGCGTAGTAAGCAAATTCAAGTCATTCCGAAAATAAGTAGGCTTAGTCAGAGTCGAAGTTGTCAGATATTACTGTTTGGGTATTTTCATGTATAACAATAGAGCAAAAATAAATGATGTTTTGTTACGAATAATTTCTATATATTAGAAAGAGATTTTAATGTGTTGCTTATTCTTATTAAACAGGCAAGTCTTTACTCGATTATTCACTAAGTTGTACAGCGCTGCCTCTGACAGCATAATAAATTAATATTCGATTGTAAAACTAAAATGACATAAAAGTAAAAACGAAGTTTAGATTAGTTTTATGGATCTTTTTCATTTCAAGTGTACAACTTTATTATCTGGTTATATGAAAAATACGGTATTATTTAAGAGAATGCACACATCTTTCATTTAATTGAAACATTATAACTTTTCGACAACATCAAACAAATTTCAATCTTACAAGTACTTTCGTTCTTGACTCAAACTATATATTTTAAGGGCGACCGCAAGTTTAATTCCATAGCTTATCCTACACACGGTGACGGGAAACACAAAGCGCGTGAAAGTTGAATCGGGAACCTCCGAGAGATCGGAGCCTCTAGACTCATGGTAAAACGTTAGTACGAGTACCAACGGAAATTAAACCATACTCTTTAAATACGTATATTAACAAATTTTACCTTGGCGCCCAACTATTTCAGCAACATGTTCTGATGTTGGTACTGGAACACACTCTGTTGTGTTTTGACTCATTTTTCTTCTTTCATCTGGCCCAATTGAAGGATATAAAGACTCGTTTTCCTTCTTCACTCCAAACATTGACAACTCCAAGGCTAACTGCAGCGTTCTGTGGTTTACTATTGTGCTATCGACTTCCATGTCGGAAAATACAGTAGTAGGCATAACAGGAGGTGAGGTCGTAGTGAGCAGAGCGTAAATATAATTTTTATTTGTAATAATATATTTATTTTGTCTACCGAATACTTTCTCCCCATTCTCCTACCATGCATCAAACAAAAGTACAAAATTCACATTGCGTAAATAGGTCGTCTTGGCCGCAAAACAACTGTGATGTCACAGTGATGTGCGCAGATGCAGAGCGAGCGTTGCTAATGGCTAAGGTTTAGAAGGGTAAAATACTGGTAATAGTTTGAGGAGAGAAAGTGGGGTATAATCTATTGTAATTGCATTAGTTGGTTTTACCGCAAAGCAAAATAAAAAGAAAAGAAAAATGATATTGGTTAACACTCGAAATATTTGATGCAATGATGAATTTTTGTTTTTGTTTTTAATTTATTTGTTAACAATAATAAAAAAATAAGTTGAACACTCCAACAGTGTCATGCTTCAGTGTTATTTGGTTTAATTTATTCAAAGCTGTATTTGCCGCGGGAATCCGATTTCTGAATTATAGATTGTTCTTTTCTTCTTTTTTTTATAATTTAGTCACAAAATATCATATACATATTACATATATATATGCTGATAGCATGTTCTCTGGTTAATACCATTTTTTATCTTTTAAAAAAATCTATGCAGATTTCTGGAGTGACGCGCTCGACCACCACAAAACGTCTTATTCTTTTTCCTTGGCCTAAGTCAGTGTAATTAGCAGAAGAGAAATCTGTGTAGGTTACTGTGAAGTGCTTGTAGTACCGTTAGACAGTATAGTTTCTTGATAGATCGTAAATTTTAGGCTGAATATAATTTGTTGTAACGATTAGAAATAAAAGCATCACCCTTTTGTACACGAAATACGAGACTCCACAGTAATTAGTTGCACAGTTACATATATGGTGATAGCTTTTCCTTATGACCTGACTGTTTTAAAATGTAAAAAAAATATATATATATATGCTGAGTGGTCACAAGTAAATAGACACCTAATTTTTCGTCATTTAACTGATTTATGCTAACTAATTTGTGTTCACAGAGCACTATATAAATGAAAATGTCCGCACACTAATTATCTTGTGCTACATGCCTAGAACTCAAGGTTCTCTCGAATTGTCAGATTTTGTTAGAGGAAGGATAGTTGGTCAAGCAGATGGTGGAATAAGTCAGCGGTAAATTTCGCAGAATTTGAGAATCCCGCTTTCGACAGTCAACGAATCATCGTGCAGTTCAGGAAACACGGCAAGGAAACAACTGAGAATCGTCCGGGTCGTCCTGGTCCATCGGAGAGGACAAAAAGGGCTGTCAAGAGAAGCATCGAAATGGATCCCAGATTAACGACTGCAGAAGTGGCCAAAGTGGGTGGTATAAGTCCGAAATCTGTTCAACGGATTCTCCACAGATTGGATTATTGTTGCAGAACAGCTAGACGGAAGCCCTTATTAAGACC